TCACAGAACTAATGGAGAGCCACCATCTACCACAAAACGGAAGAGAAACCAAAAGAGTCAACCAAAACATCCCTCCTCACATTTCTATGGAAAAACTAATCATTACAACATCTCTTAGAGACAATAACTCAAAATCTTCAGACCCAGTGAAGTTGATGCTTGCATCACATCAGCGACAGCTATTTAGATGACTGGATACACGTCTATACAGACGGCTCAGCATTCAAAGGCACAACCAAAGCTGGATATGGAATACTAATACTGTACCCAGATGGAAGTTCCAATGAGATCTCTGCAGCCTGTGGAGAGAAATGCAACAACTATGATGCAGAAATGATAGCAATTTAAACAGCACTATACCATCTCCGCATAGTTTTTGATACTCGTCCAAACCGAACACAGAGTATAGTGATCTTCACTGACTCACTATCAGTCTTGCAAGCAATAAAATATGACCATCATCTAAACGAAGACTTGACACTCATACTGTTTGGCTCCCATCACCTGATAACATCCTGTGGCGTCAACCTTGGTGATGCAGTAGATTCCCGGACACTGAAACATACCTGGAAATGACAGAGCAGACACACTCGCCAAAAGGGGATCTAGACAGGAACAACCCAACATTCCAACTTCATACAACACTGCAAAACAAATCGTTAAAAGCAAAGGCAAACAAGATTGGATAAACAGATGAGCCTTGGGAAAGACAGGCAGAGCAGTTTTTAGACATATGACTACAATGAAACGAAATGACAATATCAACCACTTACAGAGAAAGAAACAGACCACTGCCTTCCGCCTACGAACAGAATTTAAACAGCTCAACTTTCACTTGAACAGAATAAAACCACAACTTCCCCCAATGTGTCCTTTGTGTGACTATGCATATATGAGACAGTGGAACATTACCTTTTCCACTCTACAGCCATAAATGACATCAGAGCTACACTTCTCTCTCCGAGACGTAACTTTGACAACACACTCTACGGAACATTACAGCAACTGCAGCAAACCTGCACTTATCAGTGCATGGCATTGGACAGAAGGGCGAGAGCCCAGATGTTGCTGGATCGATAACAACAGCAACAACAACTACAACTCTAAAAATGCACATTATGTAATTCATCTGCAAAAATACACTTTCCAAACATAAGATCACACAGCAGAATGATTTCCCTTGATGTTAGGCAGTTGGGACCATTTAACAGAGGACAGCATTAAAACACTGTTATTCCGCCAGCTTTATGGCAGGTTTTGTCTTCCCACAATTGTTAAATCAGGGTTTCTTTTTACTTACGGCCTATGAGAACTTTTGAATCCTAGTCTTTCATTCTTTGTTTTCATTCTTTGTATCTTTCTCTCCCTCCCCAAACTACTCACACTCCTGTTGATTACTCTGTCTTTCTGACGTTCATGAACCATTTTAAGGCCCCACACAGGTTTTGGGGGGGTCCAGTTTGGGTTCAAGCAATGATTTTTTTGATTTTGAGAAACTTCTTTTGAAAATTATGTGCTAAATCGAATGGAAGTACTCCCAATGCTCTATTTCAAACAGTTAGCTTCCTAAAGTCTGTGACATTGTGAGCCAATTCTTCAAAGCAATTTTGAGATCTTTTTGCTCCTTTCCTCAAAATGTTCATTTGTCTTTAAAAGCTAAAAACTCTAAAACCATGCAAGATACAGACATGAAATTTTGAAGGTAACTGTACCATGCAATTCCAAATAAAATTACGTTAGCTTTTTAAAATTTAAAAAAAAAAGTTCTTAATGATTTTTTTACTTTGCTATTTTGACTAGATCTATTTTTGTCATTCACCAATATTCAAGTCTTCTAAAAGTAGTAAAATTATTAATATTTACAATTTCAAGAAAAGCTAGCTTTATTTTCTTAAGATTTGTGTGCAGATTTACAAATATCAGGGTCCTGACCAGGTCGGGAAATCGGGAAAAAGTCGGGAATTTTGAGATGGGTCGGGAGGTTGGGAAAAAGTCGGGAATTTTGTGATGGGTCGGTAAGTCGGGAAAGGATAGGGCCTGTGTAATATTAGTAGTGTAGCTATCGAGACAGTATGGTTGATGCATCTTGAAGAGGAAACGTAATTGAACCATTATATGGCAGCAGGCGGAAGTGTATGTGTGACACCGAGGCTCGATCGGGAAGAATCCAGATCTACTTTCGCTTTCGTTACCACCCAGATATTCTCCGGTAATAGTCTGATAGATAACACAACATTAATTTGTAATGTGCAGGTTGTGCATTACGAACGCTGTGTCGCCTTGAAAACAAATCAATATTAAAAATTTGTCCTCTGCTGTCACTTGTGAAAAAAGAAAAGAAAGTAATACAAGCGTCTTGTCACGTTCGCCATCGTGACCGGTCAATGAACCCTGTGAGGGTGAGTATCGGCGGTCTGAGCGCTGTGAAGTTTAAGACTCCGGAATGGGGGCGGGAGGGGGATTGCTTTTTAAAAATAAGATACACTCAGGGAAG